ATAAACACTTCGAAACAGAGGGAGTATCCGTCCGCAGACAGAGGGACCGTCCACGGACACGAATGCGCGAGCCAGCCATCCAATGCTACCCGCGTACATTTCAGACCATAGTTCAACTAAAACGGAGGAAATCGTCAAGATTTCATTAAAGTTCGGATAGAAAATAGCACAAAGAATCCATATATAGCACGCAAATAACTCAGCAATAGTTCAAATTCAGCGAGATTAATCGGATGTTTAACAAGTTTTTCATGAACGGATCATGTCATCCCATGCATACTGCCCCTTCAGCTTCATCCAACAGTATATGTATATAAATGCTCGTCCCTCTATTGTGGTACATCACGGCAACGCGTACGGCTACACAATGTGTAGAGCAACATTGAGTGATGAATGATTCAATCAACAAGTAGAACGAGAAGAAGCAAAACTTACGATCTCCTCCGTTGCCGTGCGCAATGGCCACCATGTCTCTAGCCGAGCAACCGCGTCATAAAACTTGATGAAGATGGTCTGGATGGCATACCATCCATATGATAATAACTTCACAATTGTGTTGTAGGATGATGTGCATGTCGTAGAGCGTAATGTGCTTTCACGCGTGAAACGAATCATGCACGCGCTGCCAGAAGAGCCCCATTCTGCTCCTGCATACGAAATCCACAGATATGGTCAACCATGCATCGCACAACAACTCATCCTCCATGGTCGAGTACCCCGCCATCCTTCGTACTATAAAAAACCGACACGACATTCGAAAATAAGTTCAATGACATTTGATTGAACACCTGACGAGCGTGGTGTCCACCATAGACGTCATCGACAGGGGACGGGGTCGTAAAAGGCAAGCGGGCATCCGAGTCCTACGTGGCTGCTGTCTGGACTCGACTCCTGCCAAGCCTCCCAACTTTGCTTCTAATTTACAAGAAAAAAATACGTCCAGACCGGTTGGCGGACCGATACAGGTATGCGTTGAATGACAAAACATGTGCGGACCACACGGTCCCATGTATGTGCGGTCGGTTTGATGGTCCACGTTAAAGATGCACTTATAGTCGTTAATGATGTGACATACTAACCTAGCCCGAACGCCAAAACTAAAGATTCGGTGGCTGGATGAGAGCTAGCCACGCCCAAAATACTTCCATTAGCGCACGGTTCACAATAATAAAATAAAAAAGGCAGTAGCACGACCTCATCTCACCAAACCGAGACTAGAAAGCTCAAGCTCTCGAGATTAGCACCACTTGGCCTGCACCGCACACAGCCTGACGATTGATTAGACGTACTGTGCTACGAACAAGAAGACAAGCCCGGATCTCGTATGCAGACACGTACTCCCTTCGTCCGGAAATACTTGTCATCAAAATGGATAAAAAAAAATGTATCTAAATGTATTTTAATTTTAGATATATTTTTTTTATTCATTTTGATGACAAGTATGATCCGTGCCTTGCCGACGTGAGCTGCCGAGAGCCTCGAATTAACTTGGGCGGCCTCGATTAAATTAAATTGGTCGTGGACGGAGACGGAGACGACGACAGCGACCGAGATATTTTTGTGAGGGGTCGAGATGAAGGAACCAACCAACTCGCGTCGCGCCTAGCCTTGGATTGATGTGGGAGCCACGCGCACCCCACGTGTGGCCGTCCGTGGTTTGGGTGCAGCTGTGCATACATCTCCCCGTAGCTAATCCGATCACATGGGCCCGCATGCACTTGTGAAATGGATAAGGTCAAGTTTTTCTTTCTTTTTCTGCCAAGAAGGTCCAGGATTTTTAGGGGAAATGTGATAATCTGTTAATGAGAAGTCGACATAAAAAAAGTTAATGAGAAGTTTCTCACCCCAGCTTCTTTTTTTTAGGGCTGCTGTTTTATTAACTAATCTAGTACAGTTTTTCTGCCATGTTCATGTACATAAAAGCAATATGAATTCACGTTATTTTTTGACCCTCAGAGAAGGAATCATGTTAACACCCTGAAAATAGCGTTGCTATGGGTCACCACTCTGGAGGGACACGAGCACCTTTGAGGTACGGAGAGGGTAAGGTTTAAGATTGACGAAGTCATCGCAAATACTTTACAGTTGATAGAAATTTTATCCTTCATTGAACGAAGATCATCAAAAAATCTAGAATAAATTATAAAAAATGCAATCGTTCATGCCAAAATTATTACTTGAGCCCGCGTGTGACTAACCATATGAACTACGCTCAATTCGTAAAGTATGAATCCACCACATTGGCATATTGGGTGAACAATAAGAGGGTGTCAATTGTCAAGTCAAGTTAGAAAAAAAGAAATTGGTTGACTACGAGCATGACTGGTAGTTTATGATTCGTAACCATTACGAAAGTATAAATTATGTCAGCACCCCGGGACAACAAGGATGTATGGTCTTCTCATACATGACGATGTGATTCGTCACATCAATTCAAATTTTCGACGGTGATGATTGTGGCTCCGGACACTGGTACTTAAGGGCATGTGCAGAAGATTTTTTGGGCTATCATCAACAACAAGATTAGAGTGGCTTCAAATGAGAGCGGCGACATCGGTGCGTCGAAGATGGCAATCTGGAACAAAGGAAGGAAAAAAAAACCCACGGAAAACCTAGTCAAACGGTCAGAAAGATGTGCAACTAGAACTCCAGAAGAATTATTTCCACTCCATCCATCCGCA